CACACACACACACACACACACACACAGAGAGAGAGAGAGAGAGAGAGAGAGAGAGAGAGAGAGAGAGAGAGAGAGAGAGAGAGAGAGAGGCATCAAAAGTGATGAAGCAATCAGTGATGCAAAGGACGAAAGACTTCGCAGCGCAGGGTCAGGGAAGGGCGATTTTTTTTTTTTTTTTTTTTTTTTCCGGAACAAGCTCAGCCAAGTTGATAGATATATCTGTGGAATCTGGAGGAATGGCGATGGAGGTGTGGCAACGATGAATTTTACAGGTGTAGGCGCAAGGTGAACGAAATGTGCGCATGATGTATGTGACTACGTAGGAGAGCTCCCCTGCTTTCTGCCCAATGGTTAGTTAGTTCGTATGAAATTAATATGTCATTGAACTAACGTGAAATACTATGTGGCTATTGAGCCACAGTGTCACTCCCTCACTCACGCACTAACGGAATTATGCCGAAGTGGCAATGATTGGAACTGACATGGTAACCTGTGGTTATGCTGTTACTTCTTTCCTATATGCAGCCATGAGTGAGAAATTGTACATCATTCCTGGAGGAGTAGGGGCTGGAAGGTACCAACCACTCTCAGAGTCTCAGGCTGACAAACACTTCGTTCTGTGATCGTCTCTCTCCTTTTTGTTTTCTTTTTGTTTTAATCTCTTCTTTGTGTTTGCTATTGACTTTGCACTCCTTCCTGCGTTTTCACTTTGAGCTTTGAAGTCTGAAGTTCTGAACACAGGTTTGGTTGTGCTGTTTTATATCTCTCCTTTTTTTTGCTATTGACTTTGCTCTCCTGGATGTTTTCACAACTTTAAGAACGTTGACCTGATGCGTGCATCTGCATGCGTGCCCATCTTTTTTTTTTGTTTTTTGTTTTTTTGTTTTTTGCATGCGTGCCCATCTGCGCCTGCCTGATGTTCCTTTTTGCTTTCTTTGCATGATCATTGTGGTTTCAAAGGACAAATGTGTAGCTGAAAAAAAGGCTTGAGAAAAAAAGGGGTGGCACTGCTCGATTGTGCATACAAGTAGATTTGGCTGACCGTAGTTCTCTGGGAGTCTGGGAGTCTGGGAGTCTGGGATGCGATTACCTGGTTTATATTCCATCGCCTCAATGACATATGTAAAAGAGATGTCTCTACGATCATGAATCTACCCGCCCAGACTACAGAGACTGGGTAGGGGAACATCAAGCCGTGAAGTTTGAATTTGCAAAGATTGGATGTGGTCGCATTTTAGGTTACTAGGTTAACTCATGTCATTTAGACTGGGAATGACCTAGTAGCTGTTGTTTCTGTTTGCGTATAGTGTGCCCTGTTGTTTCTGTTTGGGTAGGGGGATTACTTGGTTTGGTATAGTATTTTAGAGTGAGTCAGCCTGAGGGTGAAACTCAGGGAACCCACTAGTAGCGGTGCCACCTTGATCTGTGAGAGTGGTAGAGTACGACTGTCACAAGGGGCAGTGGAGAATACGTCAAGGGGCAGTGGGAACGCCACTGGTAGAGTGGAAAGAGAGAACGGGTGAAGAGCAGACTTGAGGTGCATCCATTGGGTTCGTGGTGGGAAACCCCTCTCGGCAGCTCAGGCTCTTTACAGGGTTTTGGACGGCGAGGACGAGAAGGTTGCCCTGATAGTCTTAGAGTTGAGGGCATCATTTGACATCTTCGCAGTTGTGCTGAGAAGGTTGCAGCTGCTGCAGTAATTCACATATTATAGAAGAGGGAAGTAATTTAGAGTGGGGCAGGGAGAAATTCATGGAACTACTTCCTTCTTCCCCCGAATACAATGTATGGTCATTATAGCTTTATCTTAGACTGAAAGATGCCTCAAAATACAGCTATAATGACCGTATGTTCTATTCGGGGGAGGAAGGTAGTAGCGATGCCATCCTGAACAGTGGGAGTGTGACAAGGGGCAGTGAGAAGGCTACTGGTCAGGCGGAAAGAGAGACCAGGTGAAGAGCAGACTTGAGGTGTATAGATTTCATTGGGTGCGTGGTGGGAAACCCGTCTCGGCAGCTCAGGCTCTTCACAGTGTTGTGGACAGTAAGGATGAGAAGGTAAGGTCACCCTGAGAGAGTCCAGGGAATATTTGTAGGTGAGGAATTCATTTGAAGGGCACGACGTACTAGTTGTCGAGTCTGAGAAGGTTGCTGCAGTAATTGGGAGGTAATTTAGAATGGGGCAGGGTGAAATTCACGGAACTACTAGTAGCGGTGCCACCTTGAACAGTGGGAGTGTGTGACAAGGGGCAGTGAGAACGCTACGGGTCACTGACAGGTGGAAAGAGAGAACCGGTGAAGAACAGACTTGAGGTGTATCCAGTGGGTGCGTGGTGGGAAACCCGTCTCGGCAGCTCAGGCTCTTTACAGTGTTTTGGACAGTGAGAGATGAGGGGATCACTCTGCTCCTAGGGCTTTTAGTAGTAGAGGTGGTTGGTCGTGGGCAGCGTATCCGGTATCGGAGTTCATTTGATTTCATTTGAGTTCATTTGAGTTCATTTGAGTTCGTGTTCGTTTGTTAGTTCAGATTCCCCTCCTTTTCTTTCAAAGGTGGTTGTGGTTATAAGGGACGCTGGAGCAGGTTTTCAGCATAGACTAAGCTGGGTATGTGCCCCAGTATGTTACACCGAGTTGAATTGTGAGGTCCCCGGGCTCAACTATGATTTTTGCACATGGCAGAGATCCAGATTAACCGCTGCGACTTTAGGAAGAGTAGTGGTGGTTTAAACTACCAGTACGTTTCTTAAACCAACAGTACTTTTCCCAGATAGAAAACCAAACTCGCGGTGTGCATGCTGCCACGACTCCGAGAAGTACCGGGTGGACATCCATCCAGCCTGAGGCAAAAGGGGGCTCACATGTGACCCATTTTGCCTGGATGGATATGGTGCCCAACGGCATCCCGTGACAGCCTGAAAAAAATCGCCACGAACGTGCTGGTGGTTTAAAGGGGGTAGCCTACTACACCCTAGCATTTGTGTATTCATCTTATTCATCATCATCAACTCCAGCAGGATTCGAACTTGTTATCTTTTTACCTCCACCTTCATCATGCTTCACGAGTACCTCGATGGCTTCGGGAACCGGAGCCAGGCCTTTTTGTTTTCTGCTTTCTTGCAGAAGACTTAGCCATCTCTAGGCCATGATGATGTTTCTGTTCTCTTCCAAGATCCGTAGATCCAACCCCCTGCCTCCTGCTCTGTGCCCCCTTTACTTGGTCGTATGAGGAAAAACACTTAAACCACACCGCTACCTGCCGCATTTTTCGTACCCCCCGGCCTGGAATGAATTTGGACCGGAGGGGCACAGGCTGATTTGGCTTCCCCGCCCCAACCGGCAGGTACTGGTGGTGTATCTCATATACCAGGGAAATTGCTCCAGTCTGTTGTTGGGGTGGAAGCAAGAGGAAAAACACTATCAGTGCAAAATGTTGAAAACCCGTTGCCCTAGATAGTACTAGATAAAATTTCAGGCCTGGGGTTGTTCATGAATATCCCTGTTATTCGTAGCCGAAGCTGGGTAATGGCCCCAGTATCTCAAATTGTTCTTTACATTAGCATATGGGAGGCTGGGGGCTCCCACTTAAAAATAATAATAATAATAATAAAATAATAAAATAATAAAATAATAAAATAATAAAAATAATAATAATAATAATAATAATAATACAAAAAAAAAAAAAAAAGATAGCCGATAGAATAGCTTAGACTTGGGGGTTTGGGAGTGAGGCTGAGGCCCTTGAGGGCATCACGATGGCTAGCTGTTAGCCTGAGATAATCACCCTGCGCAGATGATTATCAGATTATGTAGTGGAAGATCTTTGGAGTTCTGGAAACTCAACCTGCCTCCTTTCTCCATTTAGAAACTACCTAACCTAGACATGTGTTTATTATTAAAAAAAAAAAAAAAAAAAAAAAAAAAAAAAAAAAAAAAAAGAGAATTACCTAACCGAAAGAACACCAAATAGATATAAAGTATTATAAACTCTTTGAATTCACTCTAGACAACTTTAATGTCCAGACTTTTAGAGGGTATTTTTGGATATGGTTTGATGGGCAATTTGCTCAGGTATGGAAGCTTCTCATGCTGGTCCTCATCATCTAATGTTATTTCTTTTCCTTGTGCTGTTGGACATCTGTGTCTTTTGGGGGCGGGGGGGGGTTGTTCGAATTTTCTTTCTGTTTTGTCTTCAACAAAAGTAATGTGAAGATGGTAAATCAATTGCTTGCTGGAGTACACATTGTGGCTTCTGCGGAGGCAATGGCTCTCGGCGCACGTTGTGGCCTCGACACACGCCTACTATATGAGATAATCAGTAATGCCGCAGGAAACTCTTGGTAATAATTTGTGTCCTCCCTCCCTCCCTCCCTCCCTCCCTCCCTCCCTCCCTTTCTTCCTTCCTTTCTTCCTTCCTTCTTTCTTTCCTTTATTCCATCCCTTCTCCTTCGCTTCTTTCCTTAGGTTCTCCAGGGCAATTCAGCATCTTTCCATTTCTTAGCTAGAACATGATGTCAGAAATGCAACACCAACTCTTGTCACTCCCNTCCAGGGCAATTCAGCATCTTTCCATTTCTTAGCTAGAACATGATGTCAGAAATGCAACACCAACTCTTGTCACTCCCACTCGTTATGAAGTGTGCAAACATGGCTCTGGAGGAAGAGGACAAAAAGAAACAAAGTAGCGAAGGAGAATACTATACACTCTTGAACGCACATGGAGGCATCATCACTCATGTGTGTTGCCCTTCTAGACCCAGGAAAGATGAAACAAACAAACAAAGAAGAAGAAGAAGAAGAAGAAGAAGAAGAAGAAGAAGTACGTGCTTACATGTTGTACTAAAAAGTTTTGAAATTTGACATGTTTATTCATGCTACTAAATTACTAATAATCACTATTTAGTATTTACTGCTTACATGTACTAAAAGGTTTTGATATTTGATGTGATTATCCACGCTACTAATGATCAGTATTTACTATTTAGTATTTACTATTTAGTATTTACTATTTAGTATTTACTGTTTAGTATTTACTGCTTACAAGTACTGAAAGGTTTCGAAATTTGATGTGATTTTAAAGTTATTAACTTATTACTACTGCTGATGATAGATCTTAAATCCATCTGATTGCTTGCATCATAATGTCTGGATTTGGCAGAGAAATGGAAAAAACTTCAAAAAAGGCTTTTAAAAACTTGAGTAAAAGTACTTTCTATCTAGTATCGACCTTACACTGCAGATGAGTTACTGATCTGACTTTCTTTCTTCCCCTCCCCCCCTACCTCCTCTCCCCCCCCCCCCCCTTCTATGACATGTGAACAAGTTAATTTAAACCACCAGTACTTGGCCCAGATATCGGCCGCGGAAAATGATAGAGTAGAAACGTTTCTAGTCGGATGAATTTGGGTGCTCCTGTAGTAGTCCGTACATCTCCTAAAATCGTGGCGCGTTAACAGGCACGACTCTAGGAAGTACTGGTGGTTTAAAAACAAATGGTTGCATATCTGAGGAAGGCAGCAGGCGCGTAAATAACGCTATCCTTACATAAGGAGGTAGTGACAACAAAAAACAATACTAGGCTCTTTTAACTCCTGCAAAACAAAACAAAAAAAAAGGTTAACAAATGGTTGAAATAATAGAAATATCCTATTTCGAAGAAATTGCAATTACTTGCGGGGGGGGG